TTATGCCCAAACTCCAAAAATTGCTTATTATTTTATGTGCCACAAATTTAGCATTTTTTAGGCAATTTTTATCCCCTAATCACCATTTTCTTGATTTATTTCCTCTTTTTCCTTCATCCACATTATTTCCACAATGCATTAAGCATAATTCCAACATTGGAACATAGGATAACAATATAATTTACATCAAAATGTCATCCATAACTTATCACAAAATCAACATAAAGTTTGGTGCACTTGATACAAGTTTCTAACATAGCATAATATTCATAAAGCCATTTCATTCCAAGGCCAATTCTTTTCCCTGCTCTATACTTAGTCCACTTCCTAATTAGTGCATAAAATAACATAGGAGGAATGAGATTTCAAAGAAATCTCAGTAGCATATGAATTATAATTATGATGTCAATCAATGCAAGTTTACTTGTGACATGTCATGCAATCCAAAACATTCCCAATTCATAGGAACTCATACCAAATATCATGCAAGGAGAAGAACATCGTATTATCCACATTGACATACCACAAAGCATTTAGCCAAAGCATAACCAATGTCAATCAAACAATCAAGGTCACCACAAAGTTCCTCCAATCCAAGCAACAACAATCACAACAAACAAGCAAGATAAACAGTCAAATTATAATTCAAAACTACCTTTGTAAAGCTTGTCCAATTAATTCTTCCAAGGAGCAATGCTTCTCCTTAATTCCTCCTCTCAATGCCTATTAAGCCAAGCATAAACATAGGCCATATTAATCACAAAACAACTTAGTTTCAACACTTTAACATCAACTTAACAATTTTTCTCCCTTTTCTTTGATTTTTAACAAATTGATTCCTTCTTTAGAATCAATCATCTCATGAGGAATCCAATGGTGCAATCAGATTTTTGAAATTCACACTCCTTTCCCATGATCTTCACTTGGCTAGATATGGGGCTATATGATTATAAAATTTCTATTTTTGATTCCAATGATTTTAAACACTTTCCAACAATATGTCCCTACACAAAAACATGTTTTAAAGCCATTGGAATCATCAAACCAATGAAAAACAAACTCCTTCCCTATGAACAGTGCTGGCTCAAGTGAAGAACCAAAACCTTAACTTGGTTTTCTTCCAAAAATCAATCCATACACCACTTAATCTTTCTTATTCCACTTGATTATTAAGGTTTCTATCCTTCCTTAAGCATCACACATCCCAACCGAATTTTTCAGCATTTTCCAACATTTTTTCAGTATTTTTCCAAGCAAAAATCATAATCCAATCAACATAATACTTAGGGATAATGATGCTTAGACACACCTTAATGTTTTCTTGGTGTGTGTTGGATGATTTCTTGCCTAAAACACCTCAAAAATTTTGAACAAGGTGGCTGGATGAATAGTGGCAGAGTTTCCCCTTATTATCCACACAAATATCCCTTAATTTCACATTTTATTTAATAAAAATGGAGGGACCTGGAAGGTCCACGAAATTGGGCCCTCATTGGGCTCAATGTGGGCCCCACAAAAGTTTTGGACTAGTCCAAAAAGATGGCCCATAAACCAAATCACTATCTCAACCTAATTAGAGACTTTATCGGTTACTATTCACTAGTAATATCCCATAATTTTTTCAGACTCCCAAAAATTTATTTCTCTCCATAATAATTCACCTTTTAATATGAGAATATGATCTGAAAATTTTCAGAATTTTTTTTCTACCTCTAGGTATTTATTTTGAATTTTCTCCGATTAGGCCTTTATCAGTGTCACTGAGGGAAAATAAATTCCATAAAATTAATTTCTGAACTTCTAAGGCCCAAAATCAATTTTATAAATTCAAATAAATATTTATATAAATTTTCCATTAATCTCCCAAATTTATTAATGCCTCTAACTAATTAAAATAATTATTTCCCAATAATTTCTCAAAAAACCTTTTGTTTAAGGAAAATTCCTTAATAATTCATTTTCACCGAAATTCCACCTTTCGGGCCTCAACTGAATTTTCAAAATCTCTACTTTACACTTTTTTCATTTTTTGGAGATTTTTTAGAATTTTTCTCAAAATTTTCCGTTTTGCCCTTCTTAGACCAATGATTATGAAAATGCTAGTTCAGACTTTTTCAGGGTTTCATACCAAAAGTTGTTTCATCTCCCCGTCTAGTTCCTACATTGACCTGCATCCTAATTTTTGATCCTTTATTGCCATGTGAAAATTCTTAGGATGTGACATTTTGATTTTTTTTAGAATTAGTTATGAATTTTTTAAGTTGGATAGAAAATTTAGAATTACCCAATAAACAGTGTTTCCATAAATCAGCATCTTGGTTACGTTTTTATGAGCTTAAGGCCATCCAAAGTATTTAGAAATAGTTCTAAATGGACTCTAAGGTATAATAGAAGTAAGGTGTGACACTTTCTTGCTTAAAATACACCAACCATCTTTTTATTTTACCTTAATTACATAAACCTCATCTCTATTCTAGAAACATATGTAAACTTTCCTTAAAATTAAAATATATGTTACACAAATCTTTCTCCTATATTTAAAATTCTATTTTCATCCACCCAAACTGTTAGTTGACTATTAAGTTTGACTTTAAAATTATTTAGACATCTATATTTCCAAAAAAAATGTTTTTTAAAAAATCAAAAAATAATTTTAATACATATATTTTTAAAATTTTTAATATGTTATAAAATTTATTAATTTTGAATTAAATCATAAAATTTCATAATTTAAATTTTTTATCACATTTATTAGAAATTATTTACTTTGATTTCTTTTAAATTGTAAAAACATATTTCAAATAGATAGTTTGTGTTTATCGTGAAGTTTAAATGATATATGTTTGAAAGACCTTAACTTTTAAACGCATTTTTGTTACAAAAATTTATAAATATATTTAGCCAAGTATATATATTTATTAAAAAAATTAGTTAAATTTTTTATCAAGCCTTTTATATTTGCCTTAATGGAATGAAATTCTTGCAACTGTAAGAATATAATTTAGGAATTTATTAGAAAGAGGGGTAAAATAGTAAATAAAATTTATTTTAATATAATTCTTAGATAAAAACAATATTTTAAGAATCTTTTTAGAATATTTTTAACGGCGTTAATGGATTAGACTAAACTATATTTTTTTAAAATAAGGGAGAGGTCTATGTGATTGACACAAAACTGTAAAGGTAGTCAGAGTATTTACTCTATTTTTTTATATTTTAATGTCTTATTTTAGAAATTAAAAGCAACCTAAAATTATTTATTTTACATAATTATATTTGCATAATTTATTATTTTAGCACTTCTTTAGCTTTATTTTTATTTATGGGAACTATTTTGTCTTTAGATAACATCGTTGACTCTACATCTCTGTTTGAACAACAAAAACACTCATTGCTAATCAAAATTTGTAGATATATTTCAGACATCTCTTAGTGAAGGAAAACTAAATTTACATTTAAATATTTATTTTTACAATTTACATAAAATTCTATTTATAAGGAAAACTCTTCCAAAATCTCTACCAAAAAGCTTAATATTTTTATACTAAAAATATATTCATATATGAACTAAAAGTAATGAATGAACCCTTAAGATTATTGTAATTATTATGTTTGTATATTTTTAGGTTTTAAGAATGTGAGTTCTCATATTCTGTGCCATTACTCTTTAATTTTTGGGGTGTGACAATAACAAGATAGCTAAATAAGTTTTTTATATATACTAGTTAAATAAGTTATGTTGGCCCCAAAGTTAAAAATATACTGAGTTCAAGGGCAAAAGTGTAACTGAGAGAATATCAAGTAAAAGTATAATTATACTATTTAAAAATTCAAATGTCTTAAAAATGAATTATTGGCTAAAAAGGAAATTTTAAGGAAATAAAAAGAAGTAATTATTAAAATTATTTACCCCCAGAAAAATTGAGAAAGCATTATAAAATGTTATTTTATGGATTTAGAAAAATTATAAAGAGGTTTAGCTTCCCAAAAGTGGTCTAAATGACTTTAAAGCTAATTTTTGAGACTTAAGGACGCATTTTCCAGAAAAATCCAAAAAAAAATAGTTAGAAGATGATTTTTGGACTGACAATTTTAGGAAAAAAATATTTTATGAGCTAAAAAAGTTAATTAAGGAAGAAGATCCTTGTAAAGTATTAAGGATTAATTTCTAGGATATATATGATAAATAAATACCAATAAAGAAGGGTAAAATAGTAAATTCAATATGAGAATATAGCCGGAGAAATTTTTTTTCTTAGATGCAAAATCATTATCATAAAAGAAAAAAGCAACCCATTTCATATCAACATGCGGTCCATAACCGATTTCAGAGTACATAAATACAAGCACCATTTACTATATTCTTTTAAAAACTGCATATACTTATTAAACCAAAAAATGAATCCCTTTATACACAAGCATAAACTTTTCCAGAAGTTCTAAAGAGAGACTCTACATCTATGTATCTATGTACTAGAACAGGAAATTATACCGCAACATAAGAAACTTTTTGGGAACGTCTTTTTTTTTTTAGCATTAGAATAGAAAATCCTGTGCAAAGTAATTTGTGTATTTCCTGTAGCAGCTCAGCCTATGCCGAACAATGCTCCTCGGAGACCAATGAACCACCCATGCACAAGGAAGTATTATCCACTTCTCTCTCCCCCCCCCCTCCCTCTCTCCATATATATTGTATATCAACAAGTTGCCAAACAAGGAACTGGGAAATTTGGCCACATACTGTAGAAACCATTCTGTATGCACTCCATGAACATCATCTCCCGGGAAAGGAAAACAAGATCTGGCTTTTCTTTTTCTTTTTTTTTTTTATTTTAAGCTTGGTGGGAGGATGAGGAAGAGGATTGAAGAAGATCTAGCTGTTTTTTTTTTTTTTTGGGGCTTGTTTTGAGTTCGTGAAGAGGAGGATGAGGGGATGGAAAAAGGCTGTGGTTTTTTTTTTTTTTTTAATATGGAAGAAGATCTGGTTTAAAAAACCTTGGCTAATTTATGTACGTTTTACTTTCAAGTGAAGAAGCCTGTTTAAGAGCCACCTGAGCCTCATTCTCCTTGCCCAATGCAACAAGTGCCATAGCTTGTAAGTAAAATGCAATGTAGCAAGTAGGGGAAGTTTTAATTGCTTGCAATGCATCGTTCAGTGCTTTCTCTGGCATTTTGTTCTTCAGATAACACAGGCCGCGACGTGCATAAACTGTCGGAGAAACCATGGTTCCAGCATCAATGAACTGCATGCCATTACACAATAATAAAGACATCAATCAATAATCTTATAATAAGAAACATGATTATTGTTCAATATATCATTATATGCTTATCCCACCTATCAACCCACTAACGCAAAAAAGTTTCTTTACACCGATTTTTTATAACTAGTATAGATACAACCGATATGAAAAGTTTTAGACTTTCTATAGTGGTTACTGAACAGACGTGGAAAAATACTTTTTCTACACGATTGTTGCTAACCGGCGTAATAAAGTTTGAATAAAAAAATTTAGAACCGGTGTAAAAAATGTATTTTAATTTTCTACCCCTGTTAGCAGCGGCCAATAAGCTGTAAATTTTTGTTATAGTTAGTTTCTGCAACAATTTGAGTGGTATAAATACTCAAACAGAATAGGGGTATAGAAACCCTTAATCACCAATGTTTTGTCCAGAAAATGGAATATACAAACCTGTGTATAGCTATCAATCGCGGTGCTAAAATCTTTATGGCGAAAAGTAGCATCACCCTTCTTTTTTGGGTACAATGTTTCATACATCTGGTAGGTCTTTGGAATGAAAGTTTCATAATTGAAGGTAAAAAAAGAAAACAAGAAAAGAAGTCAATAATAAAATAAGCATGTGGAGCTCATAAAAGATTCAAGATTCAGATATGTTGCATTCAATCAAATGCTCATGTTCAACCTTTAAAAGTATGTAGCAGTAAAAATCCAACTTTAGTATAAAAAAACAAGGTCCAACTTTGATTATGGTGACTAAACACATTTACATATATTATATACAATAACAATCATTATAGAATAAACCAACAATGTTGCATTATTTTAAATTATACTCCTTGCAATCCTAAATGTAATAGTTTGATGGTGTTCTATTTTAGTCTTAAATGTAAAACCTCAATTTATTTTGTTTCCTAGATTTATTGATCATTTTCTCCAAACAACCCATATCAATGCTCCATCAATAACAATTAAATACAACAATAATTCAAATGCACCAATGTATTATATAAATTGAATAATGCTTGCTACCAAGAGAAATTCATTAATTTTATTTTCTCAAAAAATTTTACAAAGGGCTATTTTGGAAAAATTAGGTCACATTTACTATAATTAACTAATTAATTTAATTTTTTTAATCTATCCAAATTGATTAAGTAGCTCTTACAATGATCGAAATAATTATGAATAAATATCCATATAAAAATAAAAAGCAATAAAATTGCAAAAGTCTGGATATAGTTTTTCCTTGAAAAGGAGGAAAAACAATTATACCAAATGATCAGAAATATTTAATTTTAAATGTCTACAAAACATTCCCAAATATTGGTATAAAAAGTTTGAATTTTAAAATAATAACAAAAAAGCCTTGTGTGAGACTGACAGTGTGAAGATTTGATAATTGAAAGGAAAATTTTTATAAAATTAAAGGACCAAACCGAAATTCTCTATGTTTTTGCAAGATCAACGATACAATGTTTTTGCCCCTTTTAAAAAGGAAAAAAAGAAAAGAAAAGAAAACTAAAGGTATAATGATGCCAAAGGACCAGAAATATTTAAATGATATATTGTGACCATACAATGACAATCTATAATTTATCAATAAGAAACACACCTCAGTAGAAGTAGCCTCATCATCTTTATACCCCATATTCTCAAGGAAGGCATGGAAGGCTGTCAAATCCAATCTCAGACAAGCTTCAGCAATTGATGGAAGGGATGAAGTGGTAGCATCATGCGGTAAACCCATCAAAACATAAGAAGGAACCTGCTGGTTAATAATATACTCAACAAATTTATTCCATATGTTACTAGAATATGCCTTTAATTCTTAATAAAGACTAAAGCCAATGGATTGGGAAAATACACTGCTAATGAAGAAAGTTGAATAAAGAAATGCAAGTAGTATTTGTTTCAAGAGCTTGTATGACAATTAATTAACCTCAGAATCCTTCTGTATAGGTATCAAAGCAGTAACCAATGAATTGGGATGAGGACGCTCCTGTGGTTCTGTTCGCAAACATTCTGCTGCTAACTGCACAAATTCAATCCCTTCATCACTTGAAAACTCTCCTTCTAAACAAGAATCTTTCAACATATCAAGGTTCCTCTCCCGAATCAGGTCAAGTGCCTGAAAAGTTATGAAATCAACTGTTAAAATGTAGAACATATAACTAAAATATGAACTCATCAAATGCTTTGACTTTGTATATAAATGCTTGTTATATTAATTGCTAGAGTATAGTGTTTACAAACAGATGAATCTGATGTTCCCAACAGAATAAGAATTGAGTCATCTTAGATTCAAATACGGGAACAAGAAATCAATAATCTAATGAAATTGGATACACAGTCACAATAGATAGATAAGAGATCGATGTTTATGTTTCAAATTAAAAGGAAGAAATGCAAGCCTACACTTTTGCTTATGAATATATCAAATATAGATTATCTATATATTCTTACCGCCTTGTAGATATATTCTGTAAACCCTACTATTGTCAAGATTCTCATACCCAATGCTTGGTGCAAAGAATCTTCCATCAAGAAACAAAACTTACAAGGCCAGGAGGAATATGCTTTCCAGTGAGAAGGTCCAGCAAAATGGTTCCAAAACTGTATGTGACACTTGCTGGAGTAATTCTACCTGCATGGCCAGAAGAAAACACACACTTGCCATTACATATAGTTAAGAAACAAAATAAGCAAAATAATAATAACTCATCGTAGCGGTCAGAAATTAATGTTTTTTTCCACTGGTTTTCACTTAGCACGAACATGTGTGCTTAGAAATAAGATGGACGAAAAGCTTAGAATGGAGAACATGAGAGCATTAAATTGATTAAAGGACAAAGTTTGACTACCTGATCTTAGAATAAGAATCTTAATGAGAGAACTCCAAGTAACATTATATTACTGAAGTTCAAGCCCCAAGCGCGCGCACGTGTGATCAAATAGCATAAATTGATGATGTAACAAGCTTAAGGGATTACCTATCCTGAGATATTCAGGTGGAGCAAATGCCAAGTTTGAACTATAACTTTTACCATCTCGACTGTTCTTCATCAAACCAAAGCATGAGATTCTGGGATTTCCTTCCTGGAAAACATGAACAAGTACGAAAATAGTCAACACTTACTATTCAGGGCTCGAAAATGAAAACCTAGTTAGTTTCACCAATGATGGGATACTCTTTATTACTTGTTTCTTAAAATAGTGTACTGCGATTTGCTTTCTTCCCAGATTAATGCTTACTCGCTCTTTGAAGGGTTATCATGTAAGAAAAAGTGGGTAAAAAATTCAAATATCAATGCAATCTTTTTATAGATCATAGGGTTAAGGTGCAGTTTTGTTCCAAAATTTTTTACTGAGGAGCAATATTGTCCCGGAAGCTATTTTGAATTTATTATTGCCCTGGAAGTTTCAAAACATAAAACATTGTCCCACCCAATAAAAAATTTAACATTGACCGTTAAAAAATTGACATTGATCATTGATAGTTTTAATAATAAGGGGCAAGATTGCTCTATTTTAACACTTGTAGGGTAACCTTACTCCAAAAAACTCTCAAAGCAACATTGTACTTAAGTGAAAATTTTCAAAAAAAATTTGCACATCAGCCCGGATTATAATAGTGATTCATAGTCCTGTAATATGTTTTCAGCATGATAAGTACGTGAATGCCTAAAAAACTTTTGTAGCCCCCGCCCACAAAAGTCATCCGGCACTAGATCTAATCCTTCTTAATTTTATTTTGCTTTTATTTAGTGTTTTCATCTTATCTAGAGGTAATAAAGTACAAAGCCTGGACTATGCCTCTTCATAACTACTACACATCATTTCTTGGCTACACAAGCATATAAGCTCTTCCTCTTAAAATCCTAGTTAATTTTTAATTGATTCTACCCACATCCTTCTAAAATTGCGCGCCTAATTTTGCAGTAATACGCCATAAATATAAACATCCCCTTCCCCCTGAAAATCGTCTTCATTATTTATTCACATCCTAATAATTCAAATCACCCTTTTAGCGCATCCAATAATTAGACATGATTACTTGTAGAAGTTCTGATTAAAAGATTATATATATTGCCCAATTTGATAGGAGACAATTTGCATATTTAAATTTTTGGTAATTATAGCAAAAATGGACAATGGAAGGAATCTGAGTGGTTACATCTTTGCCTTTTTTTGTTTTCTTTTTTTCATGCTACATCAAAGAATCCTAAACCTTTGTTAATCTAATTCTTAGCTAGTAAATTAAAATTGCATGGCTGAAAAGATAACAAGTTAATGGAAGAGAAATTAGTGTGCTAGCTTTGATTATTCTCATTCACTTCTACATGAATTCTTCCTAAGTTTCCCATGGCGGTCTTGCACCTCCTCAAGTTCTTTTTACACACAAATCAAACATATAAGTCAAGATGTTGGTAATCTGATTACTTAGTCTTATTTAATCCCATAATTTGGTGCTCACTAACTTTTTAACGGCAACAAATCAAACCTGAAGTCTTTTTTTTCTTTTGTGATAATGTACTAACTAATTACTTTACTATAATTCGCAATATGAAATCTGAAGTGTTTGAAAATAGATATTTGAGCAAATATTACCTTGTTAATTTATCAGGGGAAATTAATGATTAACATTGACCGTTTATGACAACATTTTAAGATAGCACTAAATGAAAATTATAGCCTTGAAAACAGTGTACAACATCCTTTTCACTGCTTTAATAAGTTATAACACAACTTTAATTTCATGATTGCATAATTTTGATGGGATCCTAATTTTTTTTTTTGTAAAGATTATTTACATGTTAAATGAAGTCCAACTTCACCATAAATCATGGATTGCCATAGACGCACGATTGAACTTATAAGAGCATAGCCAAAGTAAATGAACTTACATCATCAAAAAGGACTCTATAAGCATTTAAATCATGATATAGCGTACGTCCTTTGCTTGCACAATATTCTAGGGCTTGGGCAACATATAGAGCAACCCTCAGTCGCATTGTCCATTTCATGGGCTCAGTTTCCCCTGTATATATAATCATGCAATTATGTGTTTAGTGAGGTAAATGAACAATGTTTAACAAGATATATGTTACCAAACTAAGGAATAAAAGCAGCAATTTGCGGATTCGATAGAAAGAATTCAAGGGACGCATAGAATATACGATTGCAGCACTCAACATGTAGTTGGCAACGAGGGAGTGTTACCATAGACTTTGGGTCAGTGAAACCAGATTTTTATGGGTTATTATATAAAATGATGTTGCAATCGAATCATGTTCTTCTTAAGTGCCATCCTCATTGCCCTAACCTATGAGTGGTAATTGAGGTCGGGCTAGAGAAACCAAAATGAGAAACAGATTCTCATCCGGATATAGATAATAGGGACTAGCCACATTCTGAACAACATCAAGAAGTGGAGAAGACAATCCTTTAGAGAGATTACCAGCAGATTTAGAAGTAGAGGAACTTGGAATTGAATCATTCGTCATAGTAATCAGAAGAAAGGAGAAGGCAGAAAGCCAAGAGAAGTGAAGGAAGAATCGAAGAGAGGGAAGCGATGAGATTGGAGTCAAATACTTTGATGCTCTGATACCATATCACGCACTCGAGAGAGCAAAAGAAAAATATGAAAATTGAATATTATTTTGTGAAGTAATATTGAGATACACGTGTGTTTATATAGAGCTTTGATACATAAGTTATATTGACAGCTGTAACTTAGAAAATAATTAAAACAGTTACTATATCCTAATAACAATTAATGGAGATGTTACACGCATAGAAAACAAAGTGAGTGATTCAAGTAAAAGAAAGGCCATCAGAGTTATCAGTGATCCAAAAGTACCAATAATAATATATGAACATATATGAGGACAAGAGCATAAAGTTATGGTAACAAAGACAAGAATGTTGATCAATGTATATGTGGTCATAAGAGAAAAAATTCATAATGAAATATATATGAGGAAGAATAGGCATGATATCTATTAAAGAAAATATACGAGGAAATCATTTGAGGTAGTTTAGACATGTACAAAAAAGTTGTTAGAGGTACTGGTAAGGAGGGTTAATTAGACAATATGGAGCCATCTAGGTAAAAGAAAACCAAAAACAACATTCAATAAAATTATTAAATGGAATATTTTGCTTAACAATTTATATAAATATTTAATTGTTAATGTATCACAATGGTACCCTGCCATCCATATAATTGACCACATCTAGTAAAATAAGGCTTAATGTTGTTGACTTGTTGTTATTGTAGTATTAGATAGATAAGAACAATATTTAAGTCTATTGCAATGGAACAAAATTTGTAGCTAGTTGTGCACTTACAATGGAACAAGTGTGTGGCCAAAGTATCATTGGGCATATATTCAGCAACAAGTAACCTCTCTTCACCATCACCACAGCATCCAAGTAGGCTCACCAACCTTTCATTTCTTAGACGACTAATTGCCTTGGCTTCTTGCTGAAAGGGAAAAAAGACGTTGCTAAAAGAACAAATAATGAAGAGTCATGCTTTAATCAGAAAACCAGATTACTTATCATGTGGAAGACTAAATTCCAAAATGTTGAAAAAAATAATTCAAGAGACGATATGTGTAAAATGTAAATCCTAAGAGCCATAAATCAAGTCAATCATATTACAATGATGCTTCCTAGTTTAAAAACTAGTAATCATCCTAACACCCATATTTTAAAACATGGAAAAGGAAATATAGTTCCCTAAAGTCATCTAGATTATACAAATCTAGAAAAGGTGACGTTTAGAACTACAGATGATACATATGGCCGAATGAAACAAAATAATAATAACAATGATGATGATCCTAAAGATGGTCCATGAAGCTCAAAGAGAAGCCTGCATAAATATTTGATTTTTACCCTTCTTCATCAAGTGGTTATTGATAAAACATTAGTTTAAGAAAATTTATACATGCAGGAATAAGTGTTATATATGAATAATCATGTCAGTGTCAAAAAAAATTATATTGGAATATCTATATACTACTCCTCCCTTATTATAAGATGTTTTTAACTAAATTACGTAGTTTAAGAAAACAGTTAAAATTAGTTAAAAACAATTAATATGTAGCAAATATAATTTTCTTTTTGCCAAATACACCCCTATATATAAATGGGTAGATGTGAGATAGTAATAATGAGATATATAAAGAAAGAGAATGTATTAAATGCATTAAACTAGGAGTAAAATAGGTAATGATGCATTAAATATTTAGACAAACTCAAAAAGGATCTTATAAAAAGAGACAAACTTATTCAAAAAATTGGCTCTTATAATAAGGGACAGAGGGAGTATGTCGTTTCTTTTTAGGTGATGCCTCTAGTTATATCTATTTCAAGAGAAAATATAAATATACACATATATCTATGTATGTGTGTGTGTGTCAGTGTATAAAGAAGCTTGTAGATATCGTTGTACTCCATTGGTTCTGGTATGAAGAACTAGATGTTAGATAAGATAATTTTGGTAAAAATACAAACCTAGCAAGATCCATGGAGAAGAGAATTTATTTCTGATTAACATCTTAATTAGGAAATGGAGCGAAATCCACATGAAGGGAAACTTAGTTTCATACAATTATGCACATTAAGTTTGATTTGATAAGAGTATACTCACCACTTTTAGATAAAGAAACACAAATGTATAAAGACAACAACCAAGTTAAGCCCATGAAGGATGATGTAGTTATTTTACTAAATGTAGCAGAGTAAAAGAAAGCGTCATCAAAACCAGTTATGTCAAATATACAAAAAGTTGGAACTTAGAGTCACTTATGCTTACTGTAAATTGTTTGGCATCAGGCCAAGCTTGTCTATTGAACCGTTTAACAGCAATTAGTGTTTGATTCTCCAGTTTTCCTCTATAAACCATATTTGGAGCATTTTCCCCCTGTTCGGAAACTATATTTTCGGTAGCAAATCCAGAAGTAGCCTTGCTGAGCTGATGAATTTTGTACTCTTGAAATGATGGCACATTAGGGGCGTCACTTTTCTTTTCATTTTCTAAATAGGAAATCCAAAACAACCAGTTATTGAGACCACTCTCATGGTAACAAGACATACACACACAATTAACTGTTATAAAAACCCGTTTTCTAACTAATGTAAAAAGGCCGTTTTTGTTCTATGATTTGACTAAAACTTACCGTCAACTTTGGCCCCAGGCAATGGACCCCTTATCTCTGTGCTCGAGCAGCATGATGAGATCTTTGAAAAATCAATACCCATTATAAACCTATAACACATTGATGACCCATAAGTGACATTAGATAGTTCAAATTTTTTGCCCATTTCCTTTTGCTTAAAACATAAGCCAAATTTATGATGACTTTTTACTGAATACGCCTATCACTGATTAAATTACATGAAGATATGTTATCAAGTTTTAATGTCCTAGGTTTTATATGTTTTGATTTCCCAAAATTTTTTGCATTCGTTGGCAAAAATTATCGAGTGGGTTCGCAGATTCACAAGTCAAGATTTCACAGTCGAATGTATCTTTCAATTGTTTTCAGCCCCAATTTAGATTCCTGAAACAAATAACTAAATCAAGTACTGAATAAGTAGAAAACGATTAAATAATATTCAACATTAGAGAAAATTAAAACTAACTTTTTTCAGGCAAAGCAATGCTCGATCTGTCAATTCAATTCAAAATGCTTTCCCAAATTGTTAATTTGCAATGATAAAGCTAGCTCTATGAATATCAAAGCCTGTTAAAGTAAAATGTGTTAGTTCAATATTAAAATAATACAAAAATTAAGCACACCTCTTTGAAAGCAACCAATGAACTTGCTTTGGAGAACTAGAGAGAGTCTCCTCAAGTCCAAAGTAACTTGAAGAGACTCTAAGTTTTATACCCAAATAGAAACTTAGATTCAAAATTATATTCACGTAAAAAAAATATACAGAATATGTAAAAAGTGTTGTAGATATTATCATATTTTGTAGATTTTCATCGTTTCTTAAAAATTCAAGTAACATAATCATTACTTTCATTAGTCATTCTATCTTAAGTTCATGATTCAAGTCAAGCTATTAAATATATGAACATTCACATGTATCAAATATATCAAGATTTATTGCCTTAGCAAAATGTACGTCATCGGGTTCGGATAGAAAAAATGTACGTAATTCATGTATTAGCATTTAATGATCTCGTCCTATAAATAGATACAATGAGAACCCTTTCCCTGTATATTTCTTCTCTCTAAACTTTTTTATTCCCATTAATTTTATAACATGCTATCAAAGCAAATCTATACTAAATTAGCATATATACAAGGTGAAATGTATGTATTTTTGGATTTAGATAATCTCCTCATTTGGGGTTGTTCCAAAAAACAAAAACAAAAAAAGACCCGGTGGTCTAATTAGCCCTGTCCAGTCTGTCCCAGCCTTCTCCAATTTAAAGTTAAAAAAACCAACGCAAACACTGGTCTCCATGGTCGTGAAGTGTGGTTTCTTGGTAAATGTGAGTGAGCTCCCTTTCTCTTCCTCCCTCTCCCTCCCTCTCCCTCCTTCCTCTGACACGCCTTATAAATGCTTTGACCTTTTCCTCATCTCTAGCTTCACCTGATCCCCATCTTGTCCTTCCAACCTTGTCTTTGCTCTTACTTCTCTTTCCTCGAACCCAAACCAGTGATCTTTGATACTGCTCTTCAATCCCCTCAACTAAAAGCTCAGAAACAGAGGTAGCCATGGATATGTCTACATTACAAAAACCATTCTTTAATGTTATAGTTCATTGTATTTTTTTAATTTTTCTTTTTAACAATTTTGGTCTGGTAGACTGGTCCTCAACCCAAGAGACGGAACCCAATCTAGTCTTCCATCTGGTTTGTCCTAGGCGAGACTAAACCTTAGGCAACAAAGTCTAACTCGAGGTGCTTTCACGCCAAACCTCGGATTGAGGCGAAACCCGGATTGGTTCGATTTTTGTGCATCCCTGTCCTCATATTTTTTTTGTCCCTTTTTTCTCTCCCCTTATTACATTCCTACCATTTTTTATATTGTGACTGGGGAAAAGCCTCAGGAAAAGAAAACGATCAAGAGAAAGAAAGACGAGAGAAGTAAAGTGAAGCTTGTCTTGAGGGCATTCTTGACTAAAACCTCCTCAACATTTTGCAATAATGGAGAAGAAAGAAAGACGGTTTAGTGGAAAGACTCGCAACAATGATTACAATATTAAAATAACACAAAAATTAAGCATACCTCTTTGAAAGCACCTGATGAACTTGTTTTGGAGAACCAGAGAGAGAGACTTTAAGTAACAGGCATGAAGTACACATTTACATGAAAGCAAGAAGGGATTTAAAGGAAAATGGGAGGAAACCTGATAAGCACTGAGCATATCAGAACAAACTGACGGTTTAGCACCAGCTGGATTTAGTGCAGAAAGCAGGAAATTTCGTGTTTCTTTTTGTGATTTGAGCGACTGTTACATGAATTTATTCAAATATAGTCATAATTAAAGTTGGTTTCAGTGAGTAAATTGGGCCTGAATTCCTGGTTGTCATCTTCTGGTGTTTACGTGCTGGACAAGAGTTTTCAGTCTTTGAGCAATCTAAAAATGTCAAAACCGAACACAAAATGGTCACTGAAAAACATATTATTACCCTTATTTTATTGCTGATGGTGTTTACTCATCTGTTTTTATAACATAGTAGTGAAACCTGGACCTTTAATTATCTACTGGTCTGGAATTTTGTTTGAATTTGGATTTGAATGAACCAATTAACTCAGTTAACCCGGTGCAACCTGTTCAATCCAACAAATTGACCTCGCCAAGCGAGTTGGCATTTACTACCTTAGGTCTTTAATACATATAAGAGCTAGTTGGGGGATAGGATTCGGTACTAAATACAAGATCTTAGTCTACTTTGTTTCCTATCTTTCTCCAAAATATCCATTTTGATTATAAAGGTTTCTCACTAAGAAATAATTCCAATCATCCAATACATATGGTTAAAAAGGATAATTTAGGGAGATCAACAACACATATTTGTAAAAATAACTAATTTAACTAATTTTTGTAATATTCTTATATTAGTTATCTACCTCTTAATAATAGAGGACTGAAGGTAGTATTCCCCCCCCCCTCTTGATATAACATCATTTTGGCAAGTTAATAGTAATGTGTTGAGTTCATGATAAATTTGTGGTAAGGGCGTAACTTGCCGATGTAAGTTATTCTAGTCATTGAATATGTATCTTCCTAGTAATTCCAGGACTAAAATTGTTTGATTTAATATTATATAAAACATTAAAACTTTCTATGATTTATGGATGCATGTTCATTAATGAGTACTCCCTCTGTCCATTATTATAATATCTTTTTAACTAAATTACGCAGTTTAAGAAAACAGTTAAAATTAGTTAAATGTAATTAATATGTAGCAAATGTAATTTTTTTTAAATATACCCCTATATATAAATAGGTAAATGTGAGAGAGTAATAGTGAGATAAATGAAGAAAGAGAATATATTAAATGTATTAAATTAGAAGTAAAATAAGTATTAATATGTTAAATGCTCAGATAAATTCAAAGAGGATATTATAAAAAGGGACAAACCATTCAAAAAATTAGATCTTATAATAAGAGACGGAGGAGTAATGCTTTATTTCTGATTTAAATATTAATTTTTCATGATGATATATGAATGTTTTTATATATTTTAATTAGATAATATTATTCTAATCATGACCGGTTTGATCACGGTTCAGTTCATGTTGGAATATTATTAATCGTTAAATTTACCTTGACCATTCTATTTTTAATTAGCTTGGTTTTCTATGGACATAATACTTATTTTCTTTGGGCTTTTCACATTGCAAATTCTGCAACCATCTCCTTCTCAAAAAATGAGAAAGTCAATGTATAACGTTATCTTTTAATAAAATCTTAGGTGCGTTGAGTCTCAAATTGATGCTTTCACAATTTAATGAAACACTTATCGAGATACTTATAAATTACTCGGATGGCTGAAGTCTCACACCAATACCAAAATTGAATGCCACATTAATTCTCGTAAGATACGAGTTGCTTTTCTTATTAATTGGTCTAATAATTCTTTTTGTTCGTAATTAAGTTAATGTATAAATATTAACGTGAATATTTTTATGGTGAAATTTGGGGGAATTAAAAACAAGAGTTGCAATATAATAAAAATGGGTGGGGTATTTTTTTTTATGAAAACGATGGACAAAGCGAATTTCAAGATTTAATCCGCACTTAAAGGAAAATTCACTAATTACCCATCAACAAAATGGCTATAGTGATAATGAGATTTTCACATGATATGAATAAAATCCGTGCTAATTATACCAATATTTGTTGGCATTTAGTTCACCTTCCTTCCTTCCAACTCCAACTAAATTTGTAAATAAAAAATTTGGATTCACTAATAAGTTGTTAGTTGAGACGGTAAGCAGTTTCACCCACTAAGAAGGAGAACATAAGTTCAAAGGAGGGGGGAATGTCAAGCATGGTTTTAAAACTTCTTTGGTTCAAAGGAATATATATTTAAAATTATACTACCGGTCCTTAATATAAAACCCAGTTGACTGATTTGAAGAAATTTAAAAAGTTACTAAATTACTTTAAAATTATTTATATTTATTGTCTTTCTCCAAACTAATTTGTCTCACTTATAAATTTATATACAATCTAATTATTCATATAAATACTTTAGACAGATCATATAGTATATGCTATAATTAAGTAATTTAGTAATTTTCTTGATCTCCATGGATTATTCAATCAAGTCTCATGTCAAGAACCGGAGGTAATATCTGATATACTAGTATTACTTTGCACTTAATGTATGAAGGTATGAATCGTATGATATAGAATATAGGCTATAAAATCATGAACACTGATCGATATGTGAAACAAAATTTAAATAAGCAATGTATGTTGTTTAACATATCAGTAATTTGCTGAACATATATCATTGAATAGATTAACGCAAGGACTGATTCGTGAATTTTCACAAAAATGGGTATGTGAGTGATAAATTAATTTCCTGTGATGCATATTCCAAGTTTGATTTTGAAAAATATATTTCACATTAAAATTTCCATTCTTATACATGGAATTAATATGAATGGAAATCTTATTACTCTCACATTATTGTGTGTGCAAAATATCGCAAAATAGAATATGTTACATTTTGACATAAAGATCATAGAGATTTTCTTGTAAATTTATCTATTCTTTTGTTTTTATCATGCATCTATCATATTTTGTTGAGGTTAGATGTTATACAAGATGGAAAGTCATTAAAATTATAAATTTAAGGAAGTGTTTATTTTATATAAAGAGATAATCTTAATTACTCTGCTGCGAGGATTTCTATCCAAAAAAAAAATCCCTTGTCAATTGATGGAAGTGTTTATTCGTAACTATAAAGGCAAGGAATCCTCGAAAATTACTGTTGAAGTATGTATATGGAAATGATTTTGTTATCTAAAACACCAAAAAAAAAAAAAACAACGATTCTATAGAAGTAAGTGCACATATTTTTTATATTCAGACCTTGGTTTTTTTTTTTGATAGACTGGAAAACAGCAACTAACCAACAATAGGAAACGCAACCATCCTTGTCACCAAACTAGGACTCAGGATCTGAAGTCCTCTAGCTTCATTCAAGGCGAGCTTGGCAAGTGCATGAGCCATATAGTTTTCTTCTCTACTGATAACTTAATGTTCAACCTGCCATTCCCAAGCGAGCATGCTTTTAATTTCCTGTATCACCTCCCCATCCTCATGTGCACCGTTGTCGCTACCTGATATAAGCCATAGCCTCTGACAAGTCGCTTCTTAAGATGATTTCTCTTTCTCCCAGATCCCAAGCCCTCTTCAGACCCATTAAGCAGCCCCAAAGCTTGGCTGTGACGTGGTCTCGTTGGTCAAGGTTGAGGAGGAAACCTTCCACGAGAGCATCTTGGTGTTTGATTATGCCCCCATAGACTGTGCGACTCTGATAGCTTGAGAAGGCCCCATCAACCTCCAGCACCATTCTATTTTTGGTGTCCTCTTCATTTCTTTGAGTCACCAAACGTTGAGGTGATCTAAGGTTGAATCCTCTGAGAATCGTAACATTGTTGCGCATGTAGTTCAAAATCGCAAGTGCCCTTGCAAGCATCATATGCAGGTTTGTATTTGTATTTGAATGGATAAACTCGTTTCTAGCTTTCCATATAAGCTTAGAGAAGATGACAAAGAAGCTTTTCCACTCAACCTCTAAATTTCCCACATCTCTTCTCATGTTCATGCGGACCCAGTCTTTAAGATTGCTAGTGAAAAATCTGTCATGGAATTCTTGTTTTACAATTGATTTCCAGACTGTCTTTATCCTAGCACAATCTCGAAAGACGTGAACTTCATCTTTCGTGTCCTGCTTGCACCTACTACAAATCCCAGTCTGGTGAATGCCACATTTAAGCTTACGTTTGTTCATCATTAAGCATTCATGGTACATGAGCCAGGCGAAAGATTTAAATCTCTGGGGTATCTTCAGCTTCCAAATGTGTTTCTAGTCTCTGTTGTCTATCTCACTTGTGGCATTAAGAGATTCATAGGCAGATTTAGTAGTAAAGAGGCCATTCTTGTTCCACTTGCACCGAGCTCTAGTGTTGGCCTCCGAATCAATAACCTCTTGAATCCCAATGGTAACATGTGTCCAGTTGTTCTTAATCCCTCACTATGTGTTAGAGCCCGCTTTCTTTGTATCTATTTGCGGAATAAGATCATTACCGTATCCATACTTGCGTCAAACCACCTTGACCCAAAAGGAGTCCCGCTTTGTCACTAGTCCCTAGCCAAGCGTCATCATAAAAGCTCGGTTTTGCTACTTTATGTGCCTTATGCCGAGCCTACCATGTTGTTTAGCCTTACAAACCACGTCCTAAGAGACAAGGTGCATTTTCTTCTTTTCATCGAATGAACCCCAGAGGAAGTCACGTGTTTTCTTTCGAATAGTAGTGCACGTACCCTCAGGAATGTAAGTAGTTTGCATAGCATAGGATGGCATTGTAGTGATAGTCAAGTTGGCAAGAGTGTTTCGACTAGCGAACGACAAGCTATTTATCTTCCAACTATTGAGTCGACCTTTAATTTTATCAACAATATACTGGTAAGTACTGTTCGAGACCCTATCATGGTGAAGTGGAACTCCTAGGTATTTCCCCATATTGGCAATTTGGGAAAGACCAAGTTCCTCACTGAGTTGTGCTGCTTGATTATAGTTGACATTTCTAGAGAAGAATACTTTAGTTTTTGCTTGATTGACTTTCTGCCCTGAAACCTCACAGAACCAGTTTAGACAACTCTTGATCACTTCCACCTGTTCTATGCTAGCTTTTGTAAAAATTAACAAATCATCAGCAAAAAACAAGTGAGAGATAGGAGGCCCAAACTTACCAAGTTTAATGGCTTTTCAACGACCATTGTTCATCTCTTGGGTAATGATGTGAGCCAACTTCTCCATGCAAAGAACAAAAAGATATGGGGAGAGTGGATCTCCTTGTCTAAGGCCATGAGAGGGAGTGAAACAACTCACTTTATCACCTTCCCATAATATTTGCATCAAAGGGGAGGAAATACAAGAGGAGATAACATCTTTAATCATGTTTGGCATCTTAATCTCATTTAGACAGCTTAGAATGAAATTCCAGGAGATTCGGTCGTAAGCTTTTTCAAGGTCAATCTTGATAGCCATGAAGCCTCTTTTGCTGTTCATGTTTCTCATAGAATGAATAACCTCCTGTGCAATAATTATGTTATCTGAACTCATACGGCTAGGTACAAAGCTGCATTAGTTAGGAGCAATAATATAAGGCCAAAAACTTTTCATTCTATTAATGACCACCTTAGTTATAATTTTGTAGACCACATTACACAGGCTAATAGGTCTAAAAATCTCTAATAGTCTCAGGGTGGTCTTTTTTCGGGATAAGAACAATAAAAGTATGGTTGATTTTTTTTTTAATAATCTCAGGATTGACAAAAGCTTGTTTTACCAAATTAATAACTGAATTACCAACCACCTCCCATTGACTTTGGAAGAAGAGCGTATTTAGACCATCCGGGCCTCGAGATTTTAAAGCACCCATACTGAAAAGGGCATTTTTAACTTCTTCTCCACTACTCTCCTTTACCATGTCTTTTATCTGCACATCATCAATGTTAGGAAAAGTAACACAATTTTCATAAATAAAATCGTTACATCCCTCATCCTGAAAAAGCGTCACAAAGAAGTCTGTAGCCACTTTCTTTATCACTTTGACATCGTCCATCCACTCACCATTTCTTGCTTTAAAGCTTGAATTTTATTTCTACGTCTATGACTGTTTGCTCTAACATGGAAATATTTGGTGTTTTTGTCTCTAAGAGTGTACCAATCACATTTTGTTTTTTAGGCCCACAATAGATCTTCTTGTAATAGCACTTCTTCCAATTCAAGTCAAAGTTTCATTTGAAGCTAGTTTGGGGAGGAAGAGAGTTCGGAGGAATTAGCAGCATGTGAAATACCTTCTAGTCTTCCTATTAATAAACTTTTCTTCCTTCCTAAATGCCCGAAAGCAGTCTTGCTCCAATTAATAAGTTCGTTTGTGAAGGAATCAATGTTGTCCTTCCACTTGAGCTGGGCATTCCATTTGTCTTTTACCAGCTTGCTAAAATCATCATAGAGAACCCAAGGAGCATTAAAATGAAAAGAACGAGCGTAAGAATTGAAGGAAAACATACCAAATCGAAGTTGAAATAGAAGAGGCTGATGGTCTAATGTAAACCAAGAGAGGTTCTTGACAATAGCATCGACATACACTTCTCTGGCTTTGGTATTTGTAAGCACACGATCAATTCTGCTTTCACACCCTTCTCATTTCCAAGTAAAGAAAGGACCAACACATCCCAAGTCTACAAGTTCCAGGTTCTCAACCCAGTCACAAAAATCTCTATCTACAGGAGTAGTATGGGGAGCCGTGGATTTACGTTCGTGTGACAAAAGTGTAGCATTAAAGTCCCCTCCAATGAACCATGGCCACTGGTTACCTGGGTTAAGGTTACTAAGAGTGCCAAAGAGAATAGCGAGTATTTGTGTTCGGGGAAGCATACACAGAGGTGAAGAAAATTTTTTCATTGTCCTTCTTAGCCATGGTGTGAATGCATTGGTCATTAACCTCAAGAATTTTAATCGAGAATTGTTCATTTGTCCAAGAGACCCAGATTCCTCCTCTCAAACTCAACGTGTCAACTACCTCACAATACTAGAAGCCAAGTTTCCTGCTTATTTGCCGAGCCTTATCACCACTAGATTTTGTTTGAAACAGAGCACAAAAATCGACCTTGTACCTTTTTTTCATCTCGCAAATGAGCCCTGGGAAAGCTTTGGCTCCTGTACCCCTACAGTTCCAAAAAATGCAATTCATGGAGAAGGTGATGGAGGGGTACTCCTGCTTATAGACCCCGTGTGTTCATATGATTCTCAGCCATCACAACATTCTCATTACACGACATAAACCGGTTATCGTTGTGCTAGGAAGAAGAGACTTTTGAATCTGTCGCACAAATAGTAGCAGGAACATTGTACGCGTCCTTCTTAGACGTTGGTTTAAATGTCCATATAGTTAAGACTTGAAATTTTTACTTTCAATTAGATTTCTATTTTCGTAAATTCTAATATATATTATGACATTTGAATTTAACTAGCTAGAATCATTGTAGGCATATAAGATAGGGGATGACAAAAGTTTGATATCATCTTGTTGAAAGGCCAATTAATGCATTGTGGCAATGTTAGCACATGAGTACTAAGATGGTCAAAGAAAATAATAAATTTATGGCTATAATGATCTAGTTCCCAAATAACTATTGGAAGCAGAAGCATTTATCATTAAATAATTGAATAAAAGCTTTTATGTTTTTATTTTTTTTAGGATAGTGAGATATGTAACTTCATTCTTTCCATTTTTATCATCACAATGTAATCATATAACATATGAAAAGTGTTTAAATCGCAGTACATCCAAAAAGGGGTGAATTGGATGTAAATAAAAATTTTAAACTTGAAAACAATAATCCTAAATGAGAAGAGAATGAGTTAGAGAGATATCACTAAAGGAGGAAAAGGTAAAGAAATAGGTACACAGTAATTTATATTGGTTCAGTCTTAAACACTTAACTTACATCCAATCCTCAGAGTGCCTCTGAGAGTTTCACTATATTCTGAGATTTGCAATAGGCTTTTAGTGTCTTAGAAAAGCAATTGAATACTCTCAATCGCTCTGCCTTACTTCCTGTGAGATTACAACCCACTTAAGATTTCTACAATCTTGAGCAACTCACCTGTGAGTAATAAAAGATGATGTATATCTCTCTCAAAGAGTATTAAATGAACACTAAAGCTTGGTAGGTGAACTTAATAAAAACAGCATACTAGGAGTAGTAAATTTGGCAGAATAATTGTTCATTCTCTTCTATGGTTGCTCCATTAAATGCTTTGTTTATTTATAGTTGATCTTCATTAATTATCCATTGAACTTGAAGCAGTTGTGAAAGTGGTTGAATATATTGGTAGCTTGCAATGGTTGAGGTGCATTTAATGCTTTTGACAAATAGAAGCTTAAGGACATTATTTTTCTGTTGACTTAATTGATTCTACATTAATCTTGCTCAAACATGTTGTTTATAACTAGAGTAGTAAGTATAGACAAATGATAAGTGATAGATAGACTTCAAATAAGTAAAAACTCAGTTAGCTCAAAGATCAAGTACTAAAACTAAAAGAAAGATGTCAATAAAGAATTCAAATACACAAGCATTATTGATAATCTTACCAATAATTGTTCAACAAGGTGAAGCTACGATAAGTGAAAAATTGAAGTTTATTATCTATAAATCATTTTATCAAAAAACTTATTGATAAATATTTAAAAGAAATTAAATCAGATTATTTTGAACTTTATCAAAAATCTGAAGACTGAAATGCAAAACACTTGCATTTATCGATAACCTAATCGATAAATACATTTATTGATAATCTTATCGATAATTTACACTCAGGAAAACCATTTCAAAGTTTTAAACAAACCAATTTATCTAAGGCCTTATCAATAACCAATCTTATTGATAATCATTGTAGAAAATCAATTTCTGAAATTTTGACTCCTAAAACCTTATGGAGCTTGTTGGTTAACATGCTTTGCACTACCACTCTGGTCCTTATTATTTGTCAGTCATAGGGAGAGATTTTGGTCATTACCCTTTTTAATAATTCATTTCCAATTCTAGACTGGTTAATTATAGTAAAGGTGAAGAGAGAGGGAATAGGTGAGAGAAAATATATAAGTATTTAATGGTCTCCTTAATAAGGGCAAAAGTAAAAGATTTTATCTATTTGATGCTCTCCTTAGTATATGAGAAAATGCTACAAGTGACAAATAATAAGGACCAAAATAGTATTCTACAAGTTGCGATTTCAAATAGGTAGAATTCCAACAAATAGATCGAGTTTATTGTTGGTGACATTATTTTCTTGGATTTCGCTTATAATATTGAGTTACAAATATCATTATAAGTGGATACCATATTAATTGTCATCATAACCAGGAAATGGAAGTGATGCGACAAGAATTATATTCACTTTTAAATTGTGAAGATTTGGACATAT